TGTGGCCAACTTCCCCATATTAGTTAATGACTATTGTCCTTTTATAGTTGCCCTAGCCCAAATCCTTAGTTTCCTTCTGAACTTTTCCTTCCCTCACACCCACATCCATTTCAGAATATTTTCTTGGTTATAACTAATATTCCCAGAATCTTACCACCTTCACTGCCACCATCGTCTCTCCCCTTAATTTTTGCAGTAGCCTCATAACTAGGCTTCCTCCTCCTGCCCTTGCTCCCCTACAGGGTGTGCCTGTAAATCAGATTATGTCACTTATCTGCTCTGAAGGATCCTCATCTTACTAAGGGTAAAGGCTTCATGCTTTCTGCTCTCACGCTGCTCCCCCACCCCCAAATGCATCTCTGATCTTCTCTTGTGGTCTCCTTATCACAGTTCTCTTCAGCCACACAGATCTTGCTGCTCCTCAGACATACCTGGCAGTCTTCTGCTTAGGATCTTTGTGTTCTGTTCCTTCAACCGTGAATCCTCTTCCAAAGAACACTTGTTGTTTTCCAGGTGTTTAATCAACTGAAGCCTCTTAATAGAGCTTTCCCTAATTTTGTTGTTGTTCAGTTGCTCAGTTGTGTCCAGCTCTTTGTGACCTCATGAACTACAGCACACCAGGCTTCCCTGTCCTTCACCATCTTCTGGAGTTGCTCAAACTGATGTCCATTGAGTCAATGATGCCATCCAACCATCTCATCCTTTCTTGTCCCTTTCTCCTCCTGCCTTCAATTTTTCCTAGCATCAGGGTCTTTTCCAGTGAGTCAGTTCTTCGCATCAGGTGGCCAAAGTATTAGAGCTTCAGCTTCAGCATCAGTCCTTCCAGTGAATATTCAGCATTGATTTCCTTTAGGATTGACTGATTTGATCTCCTTGCAGTCCTCGGGACTCTCAAGAGTCTTCTCCAACACCACAGTTTGAAAGCGTTAATTCTTTGGTGCTCATCCTTCTATATGGTCCAACTCTCACATCTGTACACGACTACTGGAAAAACCATAGCTTTGACTGTTTAGACTTTTGTCATCAAAGTGATGTCTCTGCTTTTTAATACATTGTTTAGTTTGTCATAGTTTTTCTTCCAAGGAGCAAGGGCGTTTTAATTTCATGGCTGCAGTCACCATCTGCAGTGAATTTGGAGCCAAGAAAATAAAGTCTGCCACTGTTTTCCCATCTATTTGCCATGAAGTGATGGGACCGGCTGCCATGATCTTTGTTTTTTGAAGGTTGAGTTTTAAACCAGCTTTTTCACTCTCCTCTTTCACCTTCATCAAAAGACTCTTTAGTTCCTCTTTGCTTTCCACCATTAGGGTGGTGTTATCTGCATATCTGAGGTTATTGATATTTCTCCCAGCAATCTTGATTCCAGCTTGAGCTTCACCCAGCCTGGCATTTTGCATGATGTACTCTGCATATAAGTTAAATAAGCAGGATGACAACATACGGCCTTGATGTACTCCTTTCACAATTTTGAACGAGTCAGTTGTTTCATGTCCAGTTCCAACTTTTGCTTCTCAGGAGGTAAATAAGGTGATCTGGTATTCCTGTCTCTTTAGAATTTTCACCAGTTTGTCAACACAGTCAAAGGCTTTAGCGTAGTTAGTGAAGCAGAAGTGTATGTTTTTCTGGAATTCCCTTGCTTTTTCAGTGATCCAGTGGATGTTGGCAGTTGGATTTCTAGTTCCTCTGCCTTTTCTAAATCTGAAAGTTCTTGGTTCATGTACTATTGAAGTCTCACTTGGAGGAATTTGAGCATAACCTTGCTAGCCTGCAAAATGAGTCTATTGTGTGGTAGTGTGAACATTCTTTGGCATAGCCCTTCTTTGGGATTGGAATGAAAACTGACCTTTTTCAGTCTTGTGGCCACTACAAGTTTTCCATACTTGCTGGCATATTGAGTGCAACACTTTAACAACATCATCTTTTAGTATTTGAAATAGTTCAGCTGGAATTCTGTCATCTCCACTAGCTTTGTTCATAGTCATGCTTCCTAAGGCCCACTTGACTTCACAATAAGGAGTTCATGATCTGAGCTACAGTCAGCTCCTAGTCTTGTTTTTGCTGACTGTATAGAGCTTCTCAATCTTTGGCTGCAAAGAATATAATCAATCTGACTTCAGTGTTGACTATCTGGTGATGTCCATGTGTAGAGTCGTCTCTTGTGTTGTTGGAAGAGGGTGTTTGTTATGACCAGTGCGTTCTCTTGGCAAAACTGTGGCTAACAGTTGCCTTGCTTCATTTTGTACTCCCAGGACAAACTTGCCTGTTGCTTCAGGTGTTTCTTGACTTCCTACTTTTTTGCATTCCACTCCCCTATGATGAAAAGGACATCTATTTTGGATGTTAGTTCTTGAAGGTCTTATAGGTCTTTGTAGAACCATTCAACTTCAGCTTTTTTTGGCTTTTGTGGTTGGGGAATAGACTTAGATTACTGTAATATTGCATGGTTTGCCTTGGAAATGAACCAAGATCATTCTGTTGTTTTTGAGATTGCACCCCAGTACTGGATTTCAGAGTCTTTCGTTAACTGTGAGGGCTACTCCATTTCTTCTAAGAGATTCTTGCCTACAGTAGTAGATATAATGGTCATCTGAATTAAATTTGCCCATTCCTATCCATTTTAGTTCACTTTTTTGTAATTGCCCTATTTAAAATTATATGCCTTCCCAGCACTCTAGTCACCTTTCTTTATTTTTTTCATAATCATAACAGTTAGTTTCTGTTCCCTTGTGCTATTTTAAGCACTTTACAAATGCTAACGCATTTAATCCTTGCAACCCAATGTGTTATTTCTGTTAACCCCGTTTTACTGATAAAACCAGGGCACAGGATGGCTGATTTGGAATTGAAATACAGTCTGATTATGAATCTTTGCTTTACTGCTCGCTGTACTCGGCTGTCTTTGCATATGTAGCACTTGTCAACCTCTGTAATATTATATAACTTTATTTTGTTTACTGCAGTTTGCTACCTGCCACCTCCACCCCCATCTAAATGTTATCTCCAGAAAGACGGATTTTTTTTTTTTAATCTGTTTTTTTGTTTTGGTTGTTTTTTTTTTTTTTACTGCAGTACCCCTAGCACCTATAACAATATCTAGTTTGTAGGTTCAATGAGTATCTATTGAAGAAAAAAGATCTTTGAAAAGATACTATGCCCTATTTTAAAGTTGTAAAGTTGAGTTCACCAGTAAGCTCTTTTAAACTTTGATAATTGATACAATTCTAGAGCAGTGTAAAATGTCAGAAATACCCAATTCATTCTATAACAGGCCAGAAGACATTTATGTGACCTTGAGCAACTGAACAGCAGCAAATAAATCTACTAATAGAATAATCTACCAAAAGAGTTTGTCTGAAAACTGCAAGGAGATTACATGTATAAAAATCAGTCAATACTGTATTCCCTGTTACCTTTTACCCATTTTTCTATTGAAACAGTGGTCTTTTTCTTATGGATTTGGAAAAGCTCTTTCTATATTAAGGAGATTAATCCTTTTAAAGTGAGTTGCAGATGTTTTCCCCAGTTCATCTTCTGGCTTTTGCTTTAGTTTATGCTGTATTTTACAATTCACAAGCCTTTGGTTTTTGTAATGGGTTTGTTAATCTTAATTACAATCGTTAGGAAGATCTTCTAGATTAGAGAAGTTACCCTTATTTTCTTATGTTTTCTTTGAGCACTGTTACTGTTTTATTTTTTACATTTAAATTGATTATATTAGAAATTCATCCTAGATTTTGGTGTGAAGTATGGAGTTTTCTAGATAAATGTCAGTTTTTCCTGTCAATCCCAACCATCATCCTTACCTTATCATATATCCTTAAGCCTCATCTATTTCAGGGTCTAATTCTGAACTCTTCATTTTCTTCCATTGGTTTTTCTGCCTCCTTTTATGCCAAGGCACATATTTTAAATTACTGAGGCTTTAAAGTATGCTTTAGTAATCTCATAAGTCTAGTTTCCCCTCTTTACTCTTTTTAAAAAACTTTTTAGCTTTATTTTTATTTATTTTTTGACCACATCACATTGCATGTGGGATCTTAGTTCATCAGCCAGGGATTGATCCTGTGTCCCCAGCAATGGAAGCGCATTATTCAGGAATTCTTAACCACGGACCGCCAAGCAAGTCCCCCTGCTCTTCTTTTTCAGAATTTTCCTGGCTAATGTGTCTTATCCAAATCCACTTTATAATTTCTTTGAATTGCAGGAGGAAAAAAAATCTGGCCATTTATGTTAAGGTTGATTTAAATTTTAATAAATTAGTATAATGACATCTTCAGAATGGGTTTCTCTCTAAGAACATAGTATGTCTTTCTGTTTGTTCAAGTCTTCATGTTTATCATTCAAAAGTGTTTTTTTAGTTGTTTTGGTGTTTTTTCCCTTCTTATTAAGTTTACTCCTAGGAGTTTTATCTCTCTTGTTGTTTTACCACACAGTTTATGATTTTACTTCTCATGTAGCTCTGCCTTTATAGAAAGGACAGTATTAATCATGCAGGAGTAATGAATGTCAGTTTAATTCTCACCGTAAATTAGCACATTGACCTTCTGGTTTTATGCATCATTCTGTACAATCTACAAACATGATTCACAGCGAGAGATGAATCCAGCCTTCACATACCTGTAAGTCAGGTTTTATGGCCTGTGAGGCTGAGAGCCAGATCCTAGATCGTGGCACATCTGCCCTTGTAAACCCTAGGTGTGCTGCTCAGTGGAGTGGCCTCTTAAACAGCCAGGTCACCTCTCCCTGTAACACTGCACCCATGTGTGTGCCGTTACTTTAAAAATCGTAGTTCGCTTAATAAATGTCACCATTTTAAGAAAGCCTATTATGCCTGTTAGTTATACTTGAATGACAGCCTCTTCAGCCGTTACTGATGTTTCTGCATCTACTTATGAGTAAAAGAACCTGATCTATACACTAGTGATATGCTTTGGAAAATTACTGAGTAACTGTCATTGGTCAAATCTTTAATGAAAGTTTTAAATTCTTGTATATTACAGAATTTCACAAACTTATTTGGACAGCCACTAGTCTGCTTGCTTTCTCCTACAGCCTATCCAAAAGCTTTACAAGGTATGTTCTTTCATTCCCTGTTATATCCATAGGTTGCAAATCAACTTACGTCTTCATTTTGAATAATACTGATCTGATCTTTGTCTCCCCATCTATAATGGTCAGTTGTTGGTTTATAGTGTTTAATGTGGCAAGTATCAGTCTGAAATAAACCCAAAAGTCTTGCCAACAATCAGACTTCCTGAATGGGCTACAGTTAGGCCTTGAGATAGGTCTAAAAGAACTGGTAAAACGTCCTTGAGAGTGGTTTTGGTTTGCTTGCTATTGGGGAACTTAAGATTTGTGAATATTAAAATCTGTTTTGTAGGTGTGCTTGTCTTCATCCACATAGTACGATTTCTTCGATGTCTGGCTATGTATTTTAAGTATCTTTTAAGACCATGAGAAATCTGGTCTAGGACACTTTTTAATCCATGCCCCAGGATTAGGATAACCTAGCTGGCACAACTTAAAGGGTTTCTTTTATTCACATTTTTACATCACTGTATTTTTAACATAAAAAAACCTCTTCTCAACGTGCCAGAGAGACAGATCAGTGTTTTGACGTTTCTCAAGTGGCTGAGAAATGAAAATTTTTTTGTCTCGAATAATTTGTCCTCAGTAAGCAACACATAAAATCTAATTCTAACGCCTAGTTGTTAAGCTAGGTAAGATACTAAACAAGCCTTACTCCTGTTTTAGCAGTGCTTGTCACTGTTTCACTATCTTCCTAACTGTGAACAGTGCTGGTGTCTCTCTGTGGGGGATGGCATTTTACTGCTACTTCCCAGCCAGAAGTCCTGTCTGCTGATGTAGTTTGACACAGGAGGTGATGGTCAGCATTTGAATGCCCGAGAGAAGCTGGAGACTTTTCACCGTTGTTTTAAGGTAAGTTCTGCTATTTAACAGGGAAAAACATGTAGAAATACTAAGTTCATGTATCTGGAAGACAAATCACTGAGGGATAGAACTTACCTTCAAACAACGGTAAAACTCTCCCGCTTTGAGGACTTGGTTAACCTGTTTCTTACCATTTCTGAAGAAATGTAACCCCTTCCAATGGCGAGTACTTTTTGCTGTCGGGTTTTTCCTGTCACGAAACAGCTTTATTTTAAATTGCATGAACAAATGGGTTACTACTATGATTATTTAATCAGAAAGGTTTTATTGTGAAGAGGGTAAAAACACAGATTCTATAGGCAAATTGATCGTATTTGAGTCCCAACTCTGCCCCCTACGAGCTGTGTGACCTTGGGAAGTTCCTCAACCATTCTGTGCCTCATTTCTTTGCTAATAAATGGAGATAATAATAGTATCTACCTCCTTAAAGAATTCTGAGTACACAGCAAGTATTCAATATGTGTTAACTATCATCATTATTATAATGTGCTTAATTTAAATATATGTCCTTAATGTGTCTTAATCTAGAATCCTATCTTTTGGGCTATAAAACTTAGACCTCTAGTCCCTAAAATGTGTCCCACCTGGACACAAAGCTGGCCAGTACCAAAGTGTTTGGAATGTCAAATTAGATTCCTGCACCTCTGTTATCTAAAGTCTACAGTTCTGTCTTTAACCAAGAGTTACTTCATTCATTCAACAAACATTTGTTTAACATTTTATCAGGTACTGTGCTAGGTAGAAAATACAGATAACCTAACAGACAATTGCTGTGGGTGCTCTTAGTGTTTGCTTGGATGAAGCACATGTACAGTAAGATGAATGCCTAACCAGCCCTTGAGTGTTAAGAAAGTGGATGAAATGATGTCTCAAGTGGAGTTGAAGGATGCATAAAATTAAACAGGTAGATAGGAGTGAAATATGGTTGAATAAGAGTGTTCTAGCAGCAGCAGCAGCAACAAAGAAATAGCATGTGAACATGTGAAGAATGAATTGGAGAGGAGATCTGATGAAAATGGGGAGATGATGGTGGCCAGAGTAAAGACAGTGACTTGTTAGCTGGCTCAAGAAGACAGTCGTTCCAGAGAACCAAGAGGACTTGGTGATGGACAGGATGAGGGAATCAAGGAGAGGAGGGAAGCATGGACTTCCAGGTGTCTGGTTTAGGTGCTGACAGAAATGATGATCCTGGATAAGATTTGTAAGAGAACAAATAAGGGGAAAGAATTTGCTTCTGAGTCTTAAGTTTAACGTGTTGAGTTGGAGGTTATCTTTGAGAGTTAGGTTAAATGTCATAGTCGGGAGCTACTGTGTCCAGTAGAAATATAATAGGAATCACGCGTATGATTTTAAGTTTTCTAGTAGCTACTAGAAATACCATTTTTAAAAGTCTTTAGAGTCAAACAGGTGAAATTAAGGTTAGCGATACATCTTTTCGTACTGAGGCTTTGAAATCCCATGTATGTTTTACACTCCACAGTGTGTCTCAGTTTGGACACTCTTTTGAAGTGCCTGGTGGCTGCCGTAGAACAGTGCCATTTTGGAGCTAAGGGGCTCAGTTAGGCTGCAGCTAGAGAACTCTGAATTAGTAGGCACATAAGTGATAGCCAAAATTATGTGCATAGGGGACATCAACAGTGTGTAGAGAGAGAATACTGATGTTTATGGGACAGGTAAAGAAAGAGCAACGGAGAATGAAGGTGACTTGCAGCTCTAGTGCTCCTCAGAGGGTTCCATCAGGACCTGCCCATGATCCAGCACTAGCCATATTTGCATGGAAGTTGTTAGCTGGAGGGGAAAAAGCAAAGGAATATGTTCGTTTTCCATTTCTCTTAAGTTAATGAGGCTCTATCTTAAGTTTGTTCAGCAGAAACCAACATACCTGGGCTTTACTTTTGTAGTTCTAGGCTAAATCTACTTGGCTGAATTATAATTTAATGATATACATATATATATATATATATATATATATATATAAAATGAATGATATATATAACATTATTAATGTTAACATTATAATTATCATTAATTTTATACATATATATTAAGATGTTCCTCAAATGCCTCTCTTTTGTGAAACTGTTTTCTATATATTTAACATGTTTGTTATTACAGATCAATCTCAACGAGGTAGCCTGTTCACTCTCTTTTTGAACAATCCTCTAATGGCCTTCCTATTTGTCTCTGGACTGTCAAGCATGCGTAGAGGCCTATGGGAAAAGTGTCAAGAATATCTTCGAAAAATCAACCGCGACATTGCCCAGCTACTGACCCATTCACGTTCAATAGGTACCCTACTACTCTAACTGCACACTTAACAAAATGTACTATCCTGGTTTAAAATTGTTTAAATTGTTTGATGTAATGGTATTTGTTGAAGGTAGGAAAGTTGAGAAGGTTTTCCTGAACATTTATTCCCTTTTGAAATGTATTTTCCACTTAAGTATCCTTTTACCATCACTTTTCTCCTCTTTGCAGATCAGGCATTTCTCCAGTTTTTTGGAGATGAATTTCTTCGCTTGCTTCTCACAAGATTTATCTTTTGTTCAGCCACCATGAGGATGCACAAGATTTTTCGGGTAGGCAAACAATATCATTAAAGATTAATCCTGCCATTTTAGGTATTTAAGAATCATGTTTTACCTGTATTAACTTTGAATAGATCCAAAATAATATTCATACATTAATATGTAAGGTATGAAGATGAACAATATCAGGCACATCTGAGTATCTACCACTCAGTTTAAGAAGCAGAAAGTTTTCATTACCTTTGAGGCCCCTCAAGGGGCCTTCCTGATCTTATCTCCTCAAATGAAACTAAAATCCTGAATTTTGTAATTGTCATTATAGTTTTGTCACATGTCACTCATTATCTTCTGATAATGGCCCTTTGGGTTGTGTCTGGTTTGTTATTGTTAACAATGACGCCACTGTGAAATCTTTCATCAGTTACTTGGCACACATACAGATTTTCTCTGGGGAACGTACCTAGTAGTGGATTACAGGGTCAGACAGTACAGGTGTATTCAGCCTTACTAGTTAACGGCCTGGCTGTACCAGTCTACCCTTGCACTACCCATGTGTAAGAGTTGCTATTTCCAGTAGTCATGTGTGGATGTGAGAGTTGGGCCATACAGAAGGCTGAGCCCTGAAGAATCGATGCTTTCGAACTGTGGTGCTGGAGAAGACTTTGAGAGTCCCTTGAACTGCAGGGAGATCCTACCAGTCAATCCTAAAGGAAATCAACCCTGAATATTCATTCAAAGGACTAATGCTGAAGCTTAAGCTCCAAAACTGGCCACCTGATATGAAGAGCTAACTCATTGGAAAAGACCTTGATGCTGGGAAAGATTGAAGGCAGAAGGAGAAGGGGATAACAGAGGAAGAGATGGTTGAATGGCATCACCAACTCATTGGACATGAATTTGTGCAAGCTCCAGGAGATGGTGAAGGACAGGGAAGCCTGCTGTTCTGCAATCCATGGGGTTGCAAAGAGTCAGACATGACTGAGCGACTAAACAACAACAATCCTTGCCAACACCTGTTGCTGTTATTCCTCATGTTTCATGTGAATCTGGTGGGTGTTAAGTAGTAGGTCCTTGTGGTTCCAGGTGTCATTTCTGGGATGACTGTTGAAATCGAACAACTTTTCATATGTGTTCTTTATGAAGAGTATGTTCAAGACTTTGGTCTGTTTTGCTCTAAGTAGTTTGGTTTCTGTGTAGTCATGTAACTATTAACATGTAACATTTATCAGCCTCTTTTTTTCATTCATCAGTTCACCTCAGTTTTTGATGCATTTTGAAGTAGACTGTGGTCTTTACCCCTCAACACTTCATCATGCAAATAAATAACTGGATTTTATAGTTATGTATTTATTTTTTTGCTTCTTTTTTTAATGTAAACTTTACATATAATGAAATACACAGAATTAAAGTGTACCATTAGGTGAGTTTTAACAAATACATATATCTTGGGACTTCAATAAAAATAAATCAATTTTTAAAAATACATACACCTTTGTAACTCAAACCTCAGTCAAGTTTTACAACATAGCATCATTCCAGAAAACTTCCTCCATATCCCTTTCTAGTTAGCCTGCTACCCATTATCCCACAGGCAATACTGTTTTTATTATTTTCATTTCAAATTAGTGTCAGCTATTTATACAGTGTACTTGAATTACACTGTGTAAACCTTGTTTGATCAAGTGTATTCTTAAGATTCATCTGTGTTGTTTCATGCAGAAATAACTCATTCTTTTGAGTAGTTCCATTTTCTGAATATGTCACAGTTTATTTAAACGTTCTCTTTTTGATGAATACTTGGGCAGATTTAAACTTTTGACATTTATAGATAAAGTGGCCATGAACATTCCCATACAAATCTTTTTTCCAAAGACTTCTGTTTTGAATTTTCTTGGCCATAGGATATATGTGTCTTTAGTTTTATAAGAAACTGCCAGACCTTTTCCTCAAACTAGCTGTACCATTTTCTTTTCCCAGCAACTGCATATGAAAGTTGCTTTGCACCGTTGCCAACACATGATGTTGTCAGTCTTAAATTTTTTTTTGTCTTAAATTTTTTAAACATTTATTTATTTTTAATTGAAGGATGGTTGCTCTCCAGTATTGTGTTGGTTTCTACCAAACATCAACATGAATCAGCAGTAGGTTTACTCATGTCCCCTCCTACTTGAACATCCCTCCCAATCCCACTCCTCTAGGTTGTTACCCAGCCGGGTTTGAAAACCCTGTCATACAGCAAATTCCCATTGGCTATCTGTTTTACATATGGTAATGTATGTTTCCGTGTTACTCTCTATACATCCCCACCCAGAATTGTCCATAAATCTGTTCTCTATGTCTGTGTCTCCTTTCAGTTCAGTTCAGTCGCTCAGTCGTGTCCAACTCTTTGCAACCCCATGAACCACAGCATGCCAGGCCTCCCTGTCCATCACCAACTCCTGGAGTCCACCCAAACCCATGTCCATTGAGTTGGTGATGCCATCCAACCATCTCATCCTCTGTCGTCCCCTTCTCCTCCTGCCTTCAATCTTTCCCAGAATCAGGGTCTTTTCCAATGTGTCAGTTCTTCGCATCAGGTGGCCAAAGTATTGGAGCTTCAGCTTCAGCATCCATCCTTCCAATGAATATTCAGGACTGATCTCCTTCAGGATGGACTGGTTGGATCTCCTTGCAGTCAAAGGGACTCTCAAGAGTCTTCTCCAACACTACAGTTCAAAAGCATCAATTCTTCGGCACTCAGCCCAGCGTTTCTCATGATGTACTCTGCATAGAAGTTAAATAAGCAGGGTGTCTCCTTTGCTCCTCTGCAAATAGGTTCATCAGTACCATCTTTCTAGATTCCATATATATGCATTAGTATATGGTATTTGTTTTTCTCTTTCTGGTCAGTCTTAAATGTTAACCAGTTTGGTGGATCTATAGTGGTATCTCAGTAGTTTAAACTTGCATCTCACTGATGAATGAGGCTATTGGACATCTTTTCAGGTGCTTATTAGTTATATTTTATCCTATTCTGTGGCTTGCCTTTTTGTTTTCTTAACAGTGGCTTTTGAAGACCAAACTTTTAAAATTCTGATGAAATTTGAACTGATCTTTTTTTTTTTCCTTTTGTGGTGTGTTTTATCTGAGAAGTCTCTGCCTAGCTCCAAGTCACAAAGATTTTTCTCCTATGGTTTCTAGGAGTTTTATAGTCTTAGCTTTTATATTTAGTTCTGAGTTAGCTTTTGTTTACAATGTGAAGTAAGGGTTAAAATTTTTTTCCCGTATGTATGTGGAGTTGTTCTAGTGTCCCTTGTTGAAAAGATTATCCATTTTTCATTGAGATAATTTTGTTGTTTTTTGAAAATCATTCAACCATGTATGTATAGTGTTATTTCTAGATTCTAAATTCTGTTCCATTGACCACTAGCATTTTTTCCTCCAGTATACTACTTCCTTGATAATTGCAGCTTTACAGTAAGTGCTGAAATCCTTATAATGTAAGTCCCTCCTCCCACCAAAATGTCTTAAGTGTTTTAATAGTTCTAGATCCTTTGCATATCTATGTGAATTTTAGCATAAACTTTACATTTTGATTGAGATTGCATTTAATCTATGTAATCAATCTGTGGAGAGTTGTATTTAATATTAAGTCTTCCAGTTAATTAATATGGTATATCTCCCTATTTATTTAGGTCTTCTTTAGTTTCTCAGCAGTATTTTGTGGGTCTTATCATATAGGTCTTATATGTGTTTCATTAAATTTTATTCTGAAGTATTTTAAGTTTTGGGATGATTTGTACGTAGAATTATATATTTTATTTCACTTTCCAATTTTTGTTGCTAAGACATAGATATACTGATGTCTTGTAAATTAACCTTGTATCCTGCGTCTTGCTAAATTGAAGTATTAATATATTGCTTAAGATTTTTCTAGGTACATGATCATGTCATCTTCAGACAAAAGCAGTTTTACTTCTTCCTTTCCAATCTGTTTGTGTTTTATTTTATGTATACGTGTGCTTTATTTATTTCAATGTTACAGCAAAATGGTTAATAGAAGTAATGAAAAGGATTAGCTTTGCATTGTTCTTGATTTTAAGGGAGGATTAATCATTTACCATAAATTATAATGTTACTTGTTAGTTTTTCATAGATATCCTTTTTCAGATTGACTGTTGTTGTTTAGTGGCGAAGTTATGTCTGACTTTTTGCAACCCCATGGACTGCAGCATGCCCGGCTTCCCTGTCCTGCACTGTCTCGCACAGTTTGCTCAAACTCATGTCCATTGAGTTGGTGATGCCATCCAATCTCAGTCTTCCCATTTTCCTCCTGCCCTCAATCTTTCCCAGCATCAGGGTCTTTTCCAATGAGTCAGCTCTTTGAATCAGGTGGCCAAAGTATTGGAGCTTCAGCTTCAGGATCGGTCCTTTGAATGTTTGGGGTTGATTTCCTTTAGTAATGACAGGTTTGATCTCTTTGCTGTCCAAGGGACTCTCAAGAGTCTTGTCCAGCACAATTCAAAAGCATCATTTCTTCAACGCTCAGCCTTCTTTATGGTTCAGCTCTCACATCCATACACGACTACTGGGAAAACCATAGTTTTGACCATATGGACCTTTGTTTGCAAAGTGATGTCTCTGCTTTTTAATATACTGTCTAGGTTTGTCATAGCTTTTCTTAAAAGAACAAGCATCTTTTAATTTCATGGCTTCAGTCACCATCTGCAGTGATTTTGGAGCCTGAGAAAATCTGTCACTCTTTCCACTTGTTACTATTGCTGAGTTTTTTTTGTTTTTTTTTACCAGGAATGGATATGAAAGGTTGTCAGATACTTTTTTCTGCATTACTCTGATATACATTAATTCTTTTAACATAGTGAATAGCATTGATTGATTTTCTAACAGTAATCAACATTGTATATCTGAGCTAAACATATTTTGTGGTCATGTATTATCCTTTTGCATTGCTGGATTCAGTTCGGTAATACTTCATTGTGGATTTTTGTGTCTGTTTTTATGAATAATTATGGTATTTAATTTTCTTTTCCTGTGATGTCTTAATGCGATTTTGTTATCAAGGTGGTGCTGACTTCATAAATTAGGTTGGAATATGTTTCATTCTCTTGTCTTTCTTAAAGAGTTTGTGACTGACATTATTTCTTCCTGAATGATTGATAGAATTCATCAGTAAAACCATCTGGGTCTGGAGTTTTCTTTTGGGGGATGTTTTAAATTATGAATTCAATTTCAAAGACTATTCATGTTTTCTCTTTTCTTCATAGTCAATTTTAATCTCTTGTGTCTTGCAAGTCATTTGTCTAGTTTATTGCCAAAAAATTTTTGGTAATATTTTATTATCCTTTTAGTTTCTGTAGATTCTGTAGTGATCTTTCATGCCTTATATTGGTAATGTTTCTTAAGTTTCTTTTTTCTTTTTCAGCCTAACTAAAGGATTTTTAATTTTAATGATCCTTGCAAATAAAGAGCTTTTGCTTTCATTGATTTTTTTTTTTACTACTCTTTGTCTCTTTTCTATTTATTTCTATTAATACTTTGTAAGTTTTCTTCTTTTTGATTACTTCGATTTTAATTTGCTCTTTTAATTTCTGTGTTTTAAAACTTAGATCCAAAACCTTTTTTCTCTTCTAATGCAAGCACCTACTGGTTGTTTTTTTTTTTTTTTGCTGCATGGCATGTGCAATCTTAGTTCCCTGACCAGGTATGAAACCCATGGCCCCTGCATTGGAAGCAGAGTCTTAACCAGTGGGCTGCCAGTGAAGTCCCCAGTTACCTCCCTAGGGACACTTGAAATGAAAATATATGCTGCTACTGTTGTATGAGGAGTTCTATAAATACCTATTAAATCACATTGGTTTATGTTATTCGAGTTATTTATATCCTTACTGATTTTCTGAATAATTGTTCTATTATTGCAATGTATAATGTGTATTTTCCTCTGGCTGTTTTTAAGGTTTTTATATTAGCCTCCTACAGTTTGATTATGATGTAGTACCAGGATATGCACTTCTTTGTTGTTTTCTTCCTTCTCCGGGTTTGTTTAGCATCTTGAAGCTGTCTAAATATCAACCTATTTAAGATATTTGGAATATTTTCAGCCATAATTTATTCAAACATTTTTTCTTCACTCCTTTCTTTCTGGGACATCAATTACATACATGTCAAATGACCTAATATTGTCCTTAAGGTCCTGATTTTCTCTTCAGTTTTCCTTTTTAAAGTGAAAGCAGGTTTATTTAGATGCTTTTCATTTTTTAAAAATTGTCTATTTTCTCTCTAAGTTTTTGCTGCTGTCTTCAACTTTACTGATGTTTTCTTCTGCAGTAACTATTAATCCTCTAATCCTTGAGTTTTTCATTTCAGGGATTATATTTTTCTCATCTCTAGTTCTTTGTGGTTCTTACAATATTTTCCATTTTTCTCTTCCTTATATTTATCTTTTCTTTTGTTCTGTAAATGAATAGGAATAGCTGAAGTTTTTACCTACTAATACTGTATTCTCTATCATTTATAGGTTTGTTTCATATTTATTCATATTTATAATTCTTTGTATGTTTAGTAATTTTTGTTAGACTTTGAGCACTGTAAATTTTCTAATGTTGAATTCTGGATTTTGTTGTTTTTCTTTAAAGACTGTTGGGCTTTGGTTCTGGCAGAAGTAAATTACTTGAACATTTTGATGTTTCCATGGCTTGTTTTTAAGCTTTTTAAGGGGAGCTTTAGTAAAGTGATGTTTAGCATACAGGTGCAGGCTTATTTCAGCCTATTATTTCTCTGTGGTCTCTTTCATATATCCCTGTTTCAATACATATTCTCCGTTCTAGAGGTGTGTGGTCAGAATTTAGATGTGTCTGAGCCTTGTGCAAGCTGAGAGAATTGTTCCGAGTACAGTAACCCCCTTCCAGTTCCTGGTTTTATTGGTTTTTTTTTTTTTAGGAATTTTGAACTTTTCATTATTATTACTCCTCATAGTATTCAGTGTGGTAAAATGAAAATTTGGTCTCTGTAATATGTAATTACCGATGCCTACCAATAGAAGACAAATATAAATGACATTAGAATATATGGACTGTCATATTAGATGTATAGAAAAGTAGTTATTCAGTTTTTCAGTAAATTTTAAATGTTTGACAAAATTGTAGTCTATATAAAGTACCAAATCAAGGAGAATTTCCAAGTGAGAATCACTTGATTCTTGAAATTATTTCCTTTTGCTTCCATGTAATTACGAAAACTACATTGGTCCTTTTCTGTCCTTTTTTTCCCATGATCTTTCATCTCTCTTTCCAGGGACTCTTTTTTTCACTGTCTTTGCTATTATGCTTAGAAATTCCAGCCATTTTCATAGCTTTAATATTTATCTTTATACAGATTATATCAGTGTATTTATTATGTATGCATATGGAATAGTATATATGCATATAGAATAGTATATAAAAACAGTATGACAGACTGCTCAAACCTGTCTTCTGAGATACAGCCCTGAATTTTCAAATTCTGGTTGATGGGCAGTTCTCTTTGTATGGCCCATTACCTTAAGTAAAATATACCTAAAACCTGAAAGTTACATACTATCCCCAAAGTATTTCCTCTTCATCTCTTTTTCTCTGAGTAGCTCTCAACGCTTCTTTCGAGTCATCCTTTCCTGAAATCTTAGTAATTTTTTACTCCTCCTCCTATAATTAAAATGTGGAGGTCCATTAATTTGACCTTTTCAAGGTTTCTCATGTCTTTTCTCTCATTCAGATTTCTACTATAACATTCAGTTATTTATTCATTAAATACTTGTTTAAATTCTACATGTGCTAGCATTTCTGCCCCCCAGCAAGTAGGAATTATGTGGTTTCCATAATATAATATAGAAATGATAGGTCCCATTAAATACTTGTGAAATAACTCGCTAAATGAAAATATTGGGCTGAACCATAAGAAATTATTGTTTTTCTAGGGTCAAAATGGTCAAATGTCAGCAATTTTGTATACTCAACAAAAATACTCCTGATATGAAGGAGAAAAATATGTATTAAGTTACTCCTTAAATACTGTTTACAGTATGTTAACAGTAATATTAATATGTATACAGTAATATTAATGTGTATAATTAATGTTAACAGTAATATTAATGTGTAAAATTTTCTTTCTTCAAACTATGTAACTTGATTTTTCTCTTATTTGTTTACCAGGAAACACGGAATTACCCAGAATCATATCCACAACTGCCAAGGGATGAAACAGTGGAGAACCCTCATCTCCAGAAGCACATTTTGGAATTAGCATCCATTCTGGATGTGCGAAACGTGTTCCTTGAGAATACCATAGACGACTATTAAAGCAAAAATCCTCTTACTGAAACACATTTTCATTTGCCACAAATTTTAAATGGTGCAGTTTTCTAATGTGATGACAGATACATAGTGGTGTTATTTAGTTTTTATTTTTCAATTTAGGACCACCATTTTAAAAACAAACTGAAAAAAAATTGTTCAAACTTTTAGGGTAACTTTTAAAATACAATCTTTCAGGTGTTTTATTAAAACCTCGATTAATCTTGGAATTTTTATTTTTTGGTTTTGAGGTATGGGTACTTACCTCTAACATCTAATCCTACACTCAAATAGTTACTATTCTCACCCTGAGAAGAGTAAATCATTTATTTTTGTATAATGAGGAAAATCCAACTCTTATACTTGGACCTTAAATGTGTGGATTTAGAAAATATATAATTGTTCACAGAGGTGAAACTAGCCAGCATGGACTACTCAAAATCAAGATCATAGCCCTTCCATAATATTTCTTTTCATTCCAAGTTAGTATCGATAGAAAAATGTGTGATTCTTCGAAGCATAGTCAAGTTACAGTTCTTGAAAGTGTTTAATTCGTTTAAATGCTGTCAAAATTTCAGAAACTGGAAAGCATTGATTTGTATCTGAAAAGCTAAATCTTTAATTGGGATCTTTAGATGATAAATAACATTTGGAATGTGTGAGTCCTGTGCTATCATGAGATATATTTGCATACTTTGTTTTCTTTGTAGTTTTTGAATGCTGGAAGTGAAAAGGAGGTGAAAAAGAGCAGCTTTTAAATCTTTCCGTCAAAAAATCAGATTGTTGGTTTCATGATCCAGTGTTTCCATAGGAATTCCATTTAAACTGTTATTAATGAGATCAAGTTTGAAGGCTATATAGATTGAAGTTTGTGGCATACACTACAGAGTTGGTCATCTTTTTGACTGGTTCAGATCGATGAAACTTCAAAGTCAGAGATGTTATTAATATTAGTTGAGGGTAACTGAATTTATTGTTTAACCTAAAATGGAAGTTGCTTTTGCATTGACAATTTGAAAGTGAGGTTTTTAGAAACTCCTTGTATTCACTATTTTCTATTTCATGCACAAGTTTTTTTTTTTCATTATTTTATATAGGACTCAGTGTATAATATTTATAAAGATTTTTGAGTTGTTTTCTTCCTTTTTATCCCTTTCATAAAATTCACAGGCACTAGCTATGATTTCTTACCCCTCTTTTGACTCCACAACTTTCAGATTGAGAAATCTATGAATCAAAAGCCCTTCTACCTAATTTTCCATACAGGCTCACAGTCTACCTCTGGCAGTCCCAGGGGAAATGAGGTGTTTGCTGTTGGTGCCTCTTTCCTATGTTCCTAGGGAAATTTTACTGTAATATTTTAAACTTGATTTTTATTTCTGACATAGAGAATTATTTGGATCTAAGTTATGCATATACCTGTTCCAATTTGTTGATTTTTCATCTGAAGTCTTAAAGCTATTGTTCTTGGGTTGGGCGGACTTTGTGGGTTTTTTAGTTAACTTTTTAAAAGTCATTTTTGTTTGTTATTTTAAACATTATTTCAGAAGTCTTTGGAAAAGCCCCAAAGAGAGATTTTCTTTGCAAGTGGGTTTTCATTGTCAGATAAAGACTACTTTCCTTTTTTTTCCCCCAGTACCTTATTAAACTTCATAGCTTTCTTTTCATAACTGCTCACCTGGACTACAGCAATAGATTATCCTTAGTTATCTGACCTCTTGTTTCAGTTCCCCTGAAGTTCTGTGCCAGTAATGTTCCTAACAACACATATTGTCCTATTCTCTGATGATTAATATAATATTTATCACCCTGAGCTTTATCCTCACCTGATTAACATAAAGAACAGTGGTTTGAGAACTGGGAGATCTGAGTTCTAATCCTGGCTTTCCTGGTAACTAGCTGCTTGTCCTTTGACAAATGTCTCCATGTCTCTGCTTTTTAGCACTCTTGCCTGTAAAACGAAGGCCTTGGCCCAAGATTCAATCCAGTTCTCTGTTTTCTATAATTTGAATTCTTGGTTCTGAAAAACTGATTTTCCCACCCCTGCTGCTTGGAAAGTTGGTTTCCCTTATTTTGATGTACACAGTATTTCCTTTCCTAGATCATTTTCACCCAGTTTTTGTTCAAGAAAATATCTGGGTCTCACTTATTTGTTGTAGAAAGTAGTTCAGAGACTTTCCGGAAAAAATTAGAGGTTTTGTTAGTAGAAACACATTTGTCTAAGAACAAGGGATCTTAGAAATCACAGTCAGTGTTTAGATGATGACATTCCTCCTTAAGCTAATAGTAGTGTAATTCCTTACCAGTGGTTAAAATTTTAAAGTGAACTGATCTCAAGAGCAAAGCTATACTAGAAAATTCTAAACTATTGTTTCATTCATGTGTATTGAGCAACAACTGTTCTCCAGATTTTATCGTAGGCATTAGTCTGACAGACCAAGTAGACTTAAAACATCCTTGTCTTCATGGAACTTATATTCTAATAGAAGAAATCAGGCAATAAATATAATACATAATTTATGTTAGAAAGTTTTAAACGGTATGAAGAAAATTTAAGAGTGTGCTAAGGAAAATTTTTCCTTTGTTTTTAGAGAGAATAAAGTTTCAAAGACCGATCAGGGTAGGCCTTCTTGGAAAGGTTACATTTGTGCAAACATGTCATATTCCTTTGTCTTGTCTTTTTTTTTTTACTTTTTATTATGAAAATTTGAAACATGCACAGTGTTTATTTTTTTTTTTTGATCTTTTTTTTTTGTACTCATATCAAAAAGTGTTGTTTTTCTTTCTTTTTTTTTTTTTAATTAGTTGGAGGCTAATTACTTTACAATATTGTAGTGGTTTTTGTCATACATTGACATGAATCAGCCCATGCACAGTGTTTAATGAATGCTCTTGGACCCATTACCCAGCCTCTACATTTTAAGGCCTTTCTTTAATTGAGGAAGAGGAAATGAAAAGGACAGTCACTTAATGGTAAGGTCAAGAGGGCAGTGGCAGAGAAGAATCTCTTTTTTTTTCAACATGTCCTGTCCCCCTTATGAATATTAAAATGGAAAATCCTTTATTTATTTTTAGAATTCATAGAAATTTAAATTTTGGAACGAAAAACAAAGCAAAGCAATGGGGAAGAGCACTTCTTTTGCTTTCAAATCACACAAACTACCCCGCTGGAGATTCTGATACAGACTCTCACCTCACTTAAGAATCACTATAAACAAAATAGTGTAAAAGTGCAAGAAGTAAGTTATATACAAACAAAATGAAAATTAAATACAAAACAAAATTAAGCACAATGAAATTGTTTTCTTTCTTTATCCATATGTTTCTGAAGTTGGTAAAGCAACTGTCTTCTCCGTTTTACAGAAAAGAAAACTGAGACCCTCAAAAGCTGTCGGTTTTTTCCATAAAGATGGAGCCAGAACTAAAACTCAGATCTCCTATTCTCAGCCCAGTCTTTCCTGGTAACTCAGGTTACTTTCTATGACAAACAAGAAAGAAATAGAGATTTAGATTTTGGCACAGAAGTTATGGTATTTTTTTAATATATCAAATATTGAAACCAGTAAATCAGTCAGCCATAGCAAATTTTATTTACTAATTATTTTTTAAAAATCCACAAGTCAGACATTTTATCTTTGATTTTAGCCAGGATATATTCTTTGTGTATGTGTATGTGTGTGTGTTCTTCCTAGGAAGTGGTGCTCTCAAAAACCTCTCAAAGCACATAGAATTTATTGTTCTCTTTATATTTTTACCAAGTTGAAATGTTTTGAGATTGTAAAAGGAAAGTGCAATCTAGTCATGACTGAAATTTTCCTAGTAAAGGATCTGAGTTTTATTTTTTCCCTCACTGTGGCTACTATGCTTTGTTTTCTTCTTGCAGTAGAATTCCCTGTAAGACATTAGGTGGTTATTGAACTGAATTTCTTTGCGGTAAAGGGAAAAGCAACAAATCTGATTTATATATCAATTATAGAAGCTTTCGTTGGTGTTCTTTTCCCAGTTTAATCTCTGACCTGTGTGAGTTAGTAACTTTCTGTGTCTTAGAAGGGTTTTGGACTCAGTTGAAAAATCTTATACTTAGTTATCCACAGAGACTTGTAATCAGTCTGATAGAGAACATTGTACACAGGAAATATAGTAAGGTACCAAGGTCTGCAAACTTGGCTACTGCCTGTGATTCAGAACCACCTCCCCACCCTAAGTGAGTAAATAGATTTGATATGAATATGAATGTTACGAATCTCCTGGTGATACTTTGGGGTTTATGTTCCTGTTATGTGTGTTTGGAGAGTATTAAGGATATTTACATTGAGGGCTCTTTTGTTGTTCTTATTTATTTGAAATTCTTATTTTATTTGCAATGGCATGTATATATTTTGGTGATGCTGAATGCAATCTCTGTGTATACTTTTTGTATATATGTACATAGCTGTAAATATATGGTATGCAGTGATACAGTATGTGTATATTATATACCCATACCCATTGTGGGCTGAATTTATTTAAGTTCTGTGAGGACATCATAGTGGCATTGTTCATGCTGCTGTATTAGGTTGTGGCTGTATCTCAATCATGAGCCTCTATTTTGAGGGGCTTGTGTTTGGGTAAAATGGGCTATTTTGGAGTTGAAATTAGGATATGAAGATATTAACAGAAAGCTGGATATTCTTAGCTTTAAAAATCATCTGCCAGTTTCCATTTAAACTGATGATAAATTAGTGATATAAACCTGAAAAACCTAAGTATGTGAAACTGAGACACCAGCAGGTTCTTAAGCTATATTAGTCCTTTATTTTCTTGACTATAGTTGGGTATTATTACTTAGTAGCATATGTATTTATATTGAGAATCAAGGGGCAATGGAAAAAATTACTTTGATCACATTTCAAAATAGATAGGAAAATGTCCTAATAGGCAAATGTTCCTAATTTCCATTTTAATACCTGATACCACAGTTTAATTTTGGAAGAATCTTTTTTTTTCACTAGTGTGTCTCATTTTAT